AAACACATGCACACACGGGCACACAAATACGCACACACTCACTCACATATACACACACAGACACACACACAAACACATGCACACACGGGCACACAAATACGCACACACTCACTCACATATACACACACAGACACACACACAAACACATGCACACACGGGCACACAAATACGCACACACTCACTCACACATACACACACAGACACTCACATACACACACACAGACATACAATAAGAAAGTGACAGAATGGTAGGAAGATGATGTCAAAAAATGACAGAATAATGGACAGATGATGTCAAAGAGTGACAGAATAATGGACAGATGATGTCAAAGAGTGACAGAATAATGAAAAGATTATGTCAAAGAGTGGTAGACTGATGGAAAGGTTATATCACAGATTGGTAGACTGATGGAAAGATCATGCCAAGAGTGACAGAACAATGAAAGGGTAATATTTCAAGATTAAAAGAATGGTAGAGGGGTGATGTTTGAACCCGTGTACGTAATTGACACCCATTTCAAAAAAAGTAAACTTGAGAAGTGCACACGTTACATAAACAAAGACGTATTTTTAAAAATTGAAAGCAGAGTAAAATCAAGGGTGAATCGGAAGTAACAGTATAAGGAAATAATTAAATGGTTGCGGCGAATGATTGAGGTATTTGTACTGACCTGTTGCCTAATTTCTGTCGCCACCGATTGGAGGAACCCATCGTATGTTGGGTAAAGAGCGACACTGAACATGAGGTCTTGCCACACCATGATGCCAAACTCGTCACAGAGCTCATAGAAATCTTCAGACTCGTACACCTGGCATGAGGACAATCTATAAATGGTTATCTTGCATACTAACTGCATTTATGTAGGGCATATACATGGTATATCTACAACATGCTCTATGTGTATCTAGCTTAACATTATTATTGTTTATATTACTGTATTATGCATGTGACTGTAAGCCTGCGTGTATGTGCATGTTTGTGTGTGTGTGTGTGTATGTGTGTATGTGTGTGTGTTTGTATGAGAGAGAGAGAGAGAGAGAGAGAGAGAGAGAGAGAGAGAGAGAGAGGGCGTGTATGTGTGTGTGCGTGTGTGCGTGTGTGCGTGTGCATACGTGGTGAAATACCAAACGAACGTGCCAGGATCTGAACAATAAAGATGTATCTATCTTATCTTAACTATCTGACCCAAGAACAGTCTACAGCATACTCTCTGTGCTTTACAGCAATATGACTCAAGAACACTCTATAGCAGGCTCTATGTACTTTACAACTACCAGACCCTAGAACACTCAGAAACGCCTCTTGGCGTCCTGGGATGTGTAGAATGCAAACAGCCGATTAAGCGCTAAAACACTTACAAACAGACGGGATTTCTCACAGACTGCATAGCCTGGTACCGATTTCCACCAGGGTGAAGTACGGAGAATTCATGTAAAGTGCCCTTCCCAAAGATATAACGTTGGGGCCCTAACGGAGTTCGAACAAAAAACCTGTCGGTTACAAGACCGACAGTCTAATAAGCTAGACCACCGACATCACAAGGTAAAAATACAATTAATGGTTAACATACACATTGTTTTTACACAAATTTAATTCTCTTATAATACAAAGCAATTATTTTGATAACTTCATAGCTAGGTTTCGAAGAAAAGCATTTGCAGAGGAACGTTATTACTTATTCATTTTCCTCTCGAGGGAACTGACTGTGTATTCAAGCGGATAGTAAAGCCCTGCATGCTCCCTGGCAGATGAGATTTTTTCAGAATGCTACCAGGTATGCTGGGGTAATATCTTTTTTTAAAATGTAAACCACAGAGAGCTCGCTTTGTGCAGGCATTTCTGCTATACAAACGCTGTTCAATAATGTTATTATTAATTAATTAGGGCATCGACAGATCAAAGACAAAAGCCGGCGGCTGTTACAAGAGCACCGCGATATTTGTGGTGATACTTTATAAACTACGCTACACAATACCTATCTTATCTTCTTCACTGCTGAAAAGACATTATGCATTCGCCTGTAATCTCCGAAAGTGGTTCACTTACCTTGCTTTGGCTGGTTTACAGAGGAAGATTCAGTAGGTATAGACACAGTTTCACCCCAAGGGGCAGTGCCACTGACTGAAGTGTCTTTAGGCCATCCCCAAAGGGGGGACATTTCTCGTTGAAGCATAGTAGAATTGTAAATGGGCTGACTCATGTCCCACTCATAACTGTGCCTGATCTACAACAGGGAACTGCTGCTTTTTCTTTCCTGATCCTTACTATTGTCATTTTCCTCTACTTCTTTTGTATGTTTGTCATTCTCTTGTGACCTGCTATTTTGGGGTGCCATGATAGTCGAAGCAGGCCTTGTGCTGTTGAAGCTAGAGAGGAGAGCAGTCTAAGTCTGATTCCCTGTAAAGACTTCTCTGTTGACACCCACCCCTTGACGCTCATATGACCTTATGCAGTTGCGAGCGCCGTAAAACCCTCTACTATAAAAAAAAAAGACACAGCTTGTGAAGTTGTTGATATACAAAGACAAGGGGGGGGGGGGGTAGTTATTATGGCTTTGAGGTTAAATCTCTGTTGGATGAACATTTTTTATCAGGCCTGTGCAGCCGAATACGGAACTGTCTCAGCAGAGAAAGGGTTAACTTTTGAGTGCCTGAAAGTCTGTTCTTCCAAACAGCTTCAGTGGATGGTTGGTGGGTGGTCAGGTGTTGTTTGCCTCTTCTTTCCTATCAAGCAATTATTGGGTTATCTTTCCTTCATCTTCTTTTTTTTTTTTCTTTTTTTTTTTTTTTTGCTCTCTTGTAACACACCTAATCTTCGACATTTACATAACCTACTTGTGTGACAAGTGCCGAAAAACGTTTACCAAAACTAAAATGTTTAGCTTGTCTGTAGAAACGTGGACGGAAATTTTTCAGCAATAAAAGGGTTGATTTTTTAACGCCTCAAAGACGTTCTCCTCAAACAGCTTTAAAGGGGGCTCTCGTAGTCTAGAGGTAAAAGTGTTTGCCTCTCATTCAATAGGTCCCCGGCTCCTTCTTACTTCTATCTTTCAGCCACATCTCTTATCTTGTGGCAGGTAAGATATAATATTTTGTCTTCTCGGATAAGGGCGAACAATTTCGGAGGTCCCGTGTGCAAGTTGCACACGTTAAAGATCCCTCGGTGATCCAAAAATCGATAAGAATAGGCTTCGGTCGCCACCCGGGCAAAATTCAAAATTCCTTTCCCACTGTTTAATATGTCCCGCACACTCATATGATTTTATGCAGTTGCGAGCGCCGTAAAATACTTATAAAAACAACAACTTAAATATAGCTTCGTCGTCAGACAGGAGAACAGATAGAACACGGAGCGCTCACCCCACCGCCCCACACTCGCATAGAGTTGATGCCCACGGCGGCTGTAGACTGCAGCAGGAACCTCAGTCTGTCTCTGGTGATTCGCTCCTGGAAGTTGTCGGCGGGGATCCAGTTGGAGCCTTTGAGGAAGACCGGGAGACCGTTGATGCGGAAGTAGAAGGTCAGGCCTGCAACAACATCACAGACAGGCAGATGATGTCAATACCCAGGTTATAAACGTCAAAGAAGTCTCATATATCTCGGTTTTTATTGAAGATAAATGAGTATTTCGTTTATTGAAATCAACACAATTTAATGAGCAGGCTGTAACTTGATACCACAAAATGAATAAAATTTGATGAGCATCTGATTCTACCGCGTCGCCACAGAGTGATGAAATAGTCTGACTTGAAATGTGGCACAGAAGTCTCTCAAAATTGTTTTTGTATTTAATTAGGAACCCCGCGGGGCGGTGCTACTGACTGGAGTGTCTTTAGACCATTCCGAAAGGGAGAACCTGTTTTTAAGCATAGCAGAATTGTAAACGGACTGATTCACCAATGCCATGCTCATAACTGTGCCTCAACTGCAACAGGGAACTGCTGCTTTTTCTTTCCTTATCCTTCCTATCGTCATTTTTTCCTCTACTTCTTTTGTATGTTTATCACACTCTTGTGACCCGCTATTTCCGGAGTGCCTTGATAGTCGCAGCAGACTTTGTGCTGTTGAAGCTAGAGAGGTGAGTAGAGTAAGTCTGATTCCCTGTAAGGACTTCCCTGTTGACATCCACCCCTCGGCGCTCATATGACCTTATGTAGTTGCGAGCGCCGTAAAACATCTACTAAAACAAACAACACTTTAATTAGGGCAGGAGTCAAGCGTACGGGAGAGCAGATCCTGTAGATGTTGAAGTATAAGGTGAGGCCTGCAAGCCCGTCACAGAAAAACATGATGAAATAGTCTTGAAAGAAATTTTTAGTCATGATTTTACGGCACTTGCAACACAAGTAGTTCATATAAGTGCCGAAGATTAAAAGTGTTACTATAGTAACACATAAAGAAAAGGAAATGAAAGAGATAACGACGATAATTATAATGTGTTTGATAGGAAAGAAGAATCTAGAAATGTGACTCAGAATTCTCTCAAAAGGATTCAAGACAGTGTACGAAATAGAGAGCCCAGTCGAAAATGTTTGCTGCTGACGCTTCTGTTTCGTGCATTATAGTGCGGTGAAAAATGTTTAGCGCAACTTATTGTGAAATATCTCCTTAACTATTGAACATAGATTCTCCAACTTTTGCACAATGACTTTTATCAATTTGTCGTAACTGATCGAAAATATTTAAAACTCCTGCACACTATATTCTAGAAAATTCCTTAATAATTACTAATCAAAAATCCCAGTCTATGGTTTCTACCGATTTTTAAAAGTTTACAGCTCCAGCAATATCGCTTTTAAAAGCAAGTCTGTCATTTTTCTCTTATCGCAACAGTATCCTTATTGAACGAATGTTTAGGGCACCTTTAGTGCATAAAATGTGTTCACTATAAAATTAATTTCTTGTCAGAAGTTTGGTAACTAAAAAGTGTCATTGACAAGCTGTGACGTAGGCGATAATATGCGTAAGCAAAATGTGTGCGAGGAGCGGGAAGTGCTGTGAACAATCCTATTTTCCGCGTGAAGGAGATTTGAAGTATTTTATATAAATTTATGATGAAGAAAAGTTTTTTAATGGAGCCCCAGTTGTTGTGGAAAAATATGATTAAGTTAAGACAAATTGATACTAACTGCTGTGCAAAGTATGAGTGACACTGATTCACCTGTTAAAGAGATATTTGAGGATAAGTTGCACCAGGAAGTTTTGACCGCACTTTAGTTGTTTGATTAATGAATAGCATATTCCTCTACTTTACACGTTATGTGTGTACGTGTATGTGTGTGTACGTGTGTTTGTGTGTGTGCGTGTATCTGTGTGTGTGCGTCTGTGGATGTATGTGTGTGTGTGTTTTTGTGTGTGCTTGTGTGTGTATGTGTGTGTGCCTCTGTATGTATGTATGTATGTATGTATGTATGTATGTATGTATGTATGTATGTATGTATGTATGTATGTATGTATGTATGTATGTATGTATTA